TTTCCCCCCAAATAAAATACTGAATTCTCATACGTAGCAGAAGCCGTTCACTTTTCAAATAAAATTGACATTTTTCAAATAGCGTTCTCAATGAAATATTTCTCTAACGTTCTTCCTTCTCATGTTCTTGAAACCAGGTACGTAGCCTAGAAGTACTTTGTACAGGCAACTGGTCTTCCTATTGTAGCATCTTTCTCCTTCTAGATCCCCCACCAGTCCAGATAAACAGCATCTGAATTAACACCTTTGGATCACAATGAAGTCTCAATTTTGTCAGTTACTGTGGGAGGTTCAGACAAAGTCCTATATTTGTTCACATACCCTGAGAAGATTCCTTTAAAGTTTCCAGGCCCGTTTGGTATATGTAGTTGTGCAGTCTTACATAATCCAGTGGCCCTTACTGATGGTCATAGCTAGTGGCACAACACTGTCAGTTAAAATTCCTCACTTACGTTGTATGTCAAAGTTTGGGAGTCTTAGGTCATGGAGATTTTTGCCTCAATCTATTCTTCTGGCTTTTCAGACTTTCCCTTCTTTAAAAATATTAGGGGCACCTGGATGGTTCAGTTGGTTAAGCATCCAACTCTTGATTTCGGCTCAGGTCATGATCTCACGGTTTGTGGGTTCGAGCCTGGCATGGGGCTCTGTGTGGAGCCTACTTGGGATTCTCTCTATCTCTCTCTCTCTCTCTTCCTCCCCCCCCCCCTCTGCCTTTCCCCTGCTTGCTTGGTCTCGCTCTGTCTCTCTCTCAAATTAAATAAAAAATATTTAAAATAAAATAAAAGTATGGTGTTGGCCACTAAAATCAGGCTCTACTAAGAGGACTTTGGACAGTCCTTGTACTTCTTAAGAGTATAGTCAGGCTTGGGGTATATTCTTTTGAACATAATAGGACATGTTCTCTGGTCCTAGTTGGAATACTTTGTTGCCATGGGAAGAAATGGGCTTTAGAAACAGAAACCATCTCAAGTTTAAATCCTATCTCTATCACTTAACTAGCTCTGAATTGCTTAACCTCTCCATTTCTTTATAAAATAGAGAGAGTGACTGCTTCATAGTGAGGTTGTAGAAAATAAAGTGAGAAAACATGTTAAAGTGACTAGCACAGGGGCACCTGGGTGGCTCAGTCAGTTAAGCATCTGACTCTTGAATTCTGCTCAGGTCATGACCTCAGGTTTTGTGAATTCGAGCCCTGCATCAGGCTCCGTGCTGACAGTGCAGAGCCTCCTTGGGATTCTCTATCTCCCTCTCTCTTTCAAAATAAATAAAACTTTAAAGTGACTAACACAGTACCTGACATGTGGTGATCATAAATAACATTTTCCTCTTATTTTACTGATGTAGGAGGTAAAATGCTGGACGAGACAATGGGTCTGGTTAAGTTAGCCACTTTTTATGTTCTTTCTGAACATGCCTTTTCAAAAGTTTTTGAATAGCACAAGACCAGGCAGAAGTTCTCAAGCCACCTGGATTTATTAAATATACTTTTGGCAAGTTTTTACTGAACATCTATTATGTGACAAAAACTGAACAAGAGAGATACAGAGCTAAGTAACATAGGAAGGCTTTATCTCCCCCCGACACACCTAAGGAACTCACAATCTAATGGGAAAGATAGATTACTAAACCAGTAATAACAACGTGCAATAGGAACAAAAGAGGAATAGTATCTAACTGTACTTTAGGCAACCAGGGGGAAACTTCCGGCAGAACTATACTTGAGCTGAGCATGGACTTCCAGGCAAAAGGAAAAATACTGACAATATTTACAAAGGCAGGGAGGCAAAAGAAAGCATGCCCTGTACTGGGAACTGCAAATAGTTTTGAATTAATGGAAAGAAGGATGTCTGTGGAGGTATAGCACAGTGAAGCCGGAGAGGTAGGAGTCATGTTTTAAAATGTTTTCTGTGTTGGGGCATCTGGATGGCTCTGTTGGTTAAGCATCTGACTCTTGGTTAAATAAAGTATTTTCTATGTCTTACTAAAGTGTCTGAACTTTAACCGGAAGGCAGTGAAGAACCACTGAAGGGGTTTTTGTTTTTTGTTTTTCATTTAATTTAATTTATTTATTTTGAAGGGTTTTAAGCTGTAAGATGGAGCAATGTTTCATTTTAGAAATAAACACTTCAGCAGTAGAATAGAGGATGTGTTCCAGGAAGGTTTGAGACGAGAAAGAAGGAAAGAAAAGAGCAAAGAAGAAAAACTGTTTAGGGCGTTGGTATTAAGGTAGGTGTGTCACTATAAGAGCCTGAATGAATGCAGTAAAGGTGGGAAAAGAAACAAGCAGCTAGATTAGGGTGATACTAAAATGGAATGGAAATGACTTGATGGAATGATCTCTGGGGGTTGGTGGATGATATCCACCATATACGGAAGGCATTGACGAGGATTTCAGGATTCCGACATGGAAGACTGGATGGATGGTGGTAGCATTTATCAGTATAATAGAATTGATGGAAGAAGTTGGGATGGCAGGTCCAGGCAGCAGCAGAGATGAGTTTCAATTGGGGCATATTGCATTCCATATGGCTGGGAACATGTCCAGTAAGTAGTTGGCTGTGTCCAAGAGATCTGGACCAGAGAGCCAACTGGAGAGGTTGATTTGACCATATGTAAGAATGCTCTCTGTGGTGATCTAACCTGTTACCAATTTTCCTTTTACTTCCAGTGACTAACACATATTAAGTGATCAGTGAATATTTGTTGAATTGTTATTGTTATGGCTGCAGCTTTTAGCTGTGGTCCACTCTGTACATGCTTTGAAAAAACTGATTGCTCTAATTTTACTCAATGGTAGGCAGCTTTAGACCAGGTGTTGCTGGCCTAAGCAATGTTTATTCACAAGTGGCTTCTTGATGACAGCCCACCACGTGTCACTTGAGCAAACTGGTATAAAATAGGCTCCTACTTGATTATCTAGGTTATTTTTCTGGTTATAAATCAGCCTTCTCAGTTGTGACAAAACTGTTTGGAAAGGCCATGAAGTTTTTCTCCATATGAGTGGGTTGGGATATGCTATTCACAGTGCTAGAGCTAGCATACAGTGATTTGAGAAAACCTATTTGTTTATTACCAGCTGATCTATTTTGGGACAGCTCTAACAGCTTGTCTGACTCAAAAGAAATGGTGAGATAAATGTCCTAGAAAGTAATACAGTGTGTAAATAATAACAACACATTTCTTTTAGTGTCCCCAGACCTTAGTATATCATAGGAGCTCAGAATGTTGGTTGAATTAAGTGAATCTATCTGGTACTTTAGAATTTACCAAGTGCTAGGGGCACCTGAGTAGCTCAGTTAAGTGTCCGACTTTGTCTCAGGTCATGATCTTCTGGTTCATGAGTTTGAACCCCGCACCGTGTCCTGTGCTGACAGCTCAGAGCCTGGAGCCTCCTTCAGATTCTGTGTCTCCCTCTCTCTCTCTCTGCCCCTCCCCTGCTCACATCTCTCGGCACTCACACTGTCTCTCAAAAATAAACAAACATTAAAAAAAAAAAAAAGAATTTACCTAGGGCTTTCACCTATATTATTGTATTTGATCTTCAGAACCCTGTGAGTCAAAGCAGGTATTGTTCTCATTTTAAATAGGAGGGAATTCATATACCCTTAGCAAGAATATTTTATATATCTCTGATTCATCTGCAGACAGAGGCAGTTTTTGTTGTCATCTCGCAGTCCTATTTTTCACACCCTAAGTAATATTCATAATCAGTCCATGAAAGACCTGCGTGATCTGAATTCGACTTGTACCACTCTGAGATGCTCTTGAGTTGACTGTTTCAAGATGGCTTAGAAGTGAGGTTGGCCCGAGGTTCTTGAGCAATGCATCTTTTCCTGCTAGTTTATATTCATCACAACGTAGGTTGGTTTATAAGTTAAGGAGCAGCAGTGTTATTTAAAAAAAATATATAACACATATAACATGATTTGAGCACTAAAATGCGTAAGCTGAACCAGGCATGTGTCATTTACTCCAGGAATACCTTTTTAAAGGAGCCTTTTTCAGTTATTAAGTTCCTTGGTGGTATGGAATATGGTACGTTGATCTGAACCAAAATTCCAGGCCTAAGTGGCTTTCTGGTGAGCACATGCAGATGTTTACTTTTATGACGTTTGGCTTCAGTCAGACTATTAGTTTTTCAAATGACTCATATTCATTTTTTATTAGTGTGAATTCCTTCTCTTCTACCCACAGCACCTTTCTTTAAACTTTAGGATTATGTGCATCCACGGTGATATTATCTTGTCATCCACATTCTCTTGGAAGTACTTATTTTAGATCTTTTTCCTGTGGTGTGAGGAGGCATTTAGCCCAGGAGGGAACTGTTTCCAGAACTTACTTTTCTTAGGGGTTGGAGATACGTCATTCATCTATGAAGAAAGATATCTCAGCTGCTGGGTGGGTCACTTGTATTCTGTTTACAGTGAAGAAACACTTCACTATTTTTGATGTTTAATTTCATGACAGTGGTTAGATTAAGTTTGTTCTGGATATACTAAACCTTTTAATCTAAAGTCAAGATTTTAGCATCTCCATCAGGGGCTAACATGATGATATTTACGGCTTGGAGATATGAGACATTTTTCAACCTGATCAGGCTACTTGGGAGTATGTTTTGATTGGCTCATAAATTGCATAGTTCCATATGCATAGTAATGAGTTAGGTATTTAGGAATAGCAAAGTAACTCTTTTAAGTATGAAGAGTATGTGTTATACGGGGAAGATCACAGTAATACAAAGTGCGAGGAACATCACAATTGTTTCTCAGGCTACCAGCGTTATAGAAATATGAACAAATTGAGGTTGGAACTGCTTAAGCCATGGAAATGTTTAGTGAACAGCAGTTTTTTCCTTTTGGCTACCTCAGGAGGCTACCTTGGTTTGTATTAGTAGTAATATTTTTTAGATCTCTTAGAAATCATTGTTGATTCTCAGAGTTCACTGTATTCCCCACTTATTCCTAATCTTCTTGCTTTTGTATGTGTTCATTCATTTGTAGAATATAAATGGCATTCGCACAGAGGAGGTGGCTGCCGTGACAAAGGGGCCATCTACCAGCCCTGACTCTGAATGGGATGGTCCCAAGCATTCACTAATTCCTAGTAAGAGCCAAGTGACCACCCCGTCGGAGTCTCCACAAAGCTTTGAGTTTGGCTCCCTCTCCATAAGCAGCAAGGAGACAGAAGAGAAGGAGCAGGGGGCAGCTGGCTATCCTGATATTAAGGAAATGCCGGGAGGCTCAAGTGGGGAATGTGTAGGAGCGGAGGGACAGGCCGATGCCTTCCAGTTCTCAGTATCACCAGCTTCCTCTCAGCTGCAACTTGGTGAAAAACAGGCAGAGAGTAGTGAAGAACATGTTACAGCAGGAGAGCCGCTTGGAAAACAAAACGGATCATTTCTTGACTCTCGTGTGGGTAACCAGTTCCCCACCCTCATTCGAAGTTTCCAGGTAGTAACCAGTTCAATGGTGCAGGTCTAATGACTCACTTTGGGAGAGGGCCACAATCTGCTCTGTGGAGGAGGTGGTGGCGGTGGTGGTGGTGAGGGCAGTCGCCTCTCTGCTTTCTTCAGAATCACAGAATAAGACTGAAGCCCTCTATTACTACAGATAAATTTATTCAGAGGCATGAACTCCGTGGCTAGAAATGCTTTCTCCCCCGATGACATAACAAAACTCTTGGGGCTGAATTCCAGCTGTTTATCTTTGTGAAGCTGGTGCAAGTGGGTTCCTCTTTTCCTTGCTCAAGTATGGGCTGTATAAAGAGGTGGATTTCTGACACTTCTATGATGCAGAACCATTAGTGTTCAGAGGCCATGCTCAAAAAATTCAAATACTCTTCATTAAAAGAAGCAACGGAGTTTTCTTAATGCGCTTTCGGACCCCAAATAACTATTTATGCATCGCAGCCACATAGTACAGCCCACCACTCCCACTGACCCCACTCACAAGGCTTCCATGCCCATGGGCACTAATCTCCTATGCTAAGGTGGATGGCCACTTAACTTATCACAATCAAATGGTAGTTTTAGAGTGATTCATAGTCTTTGGAAGGGGAGCTGATGGACAAGAAGCCTCTGATATCCTACTAATGTTCATTCTTCTGAAATTCTGAGATTAATCACCAGGTGGTGGTAGAAGTGATTATTTTCTTTCCAGTTTTCCAAATACTGTTTCTTCTCAAGAACTCCAAAGTGAATGCCTGACATTGATTTGAAAGAAGTTGACGAATTCCAGGATAATGCATTCCAATGCCACTGCTGTTTCGTGTACCATTTGTAGTTAGCTGAGGAAATGTGACCATTTTTCTTAATTATAATGGCACAGTCACAAGGACAAACAAAAGTGACTGCTATTTGGCAAACAGTTTTATATTCAAATTCTGAAGGTCAGTCTAAAGTGTTTTATATCACCGATCATAACTGTCTGATCTTATAGCTCTCCATTAAGCATATGAAAATGATTACAGTAATGCTGTTTTTTAATATCCCTCATGATTTGACACCTTGTCAAGCCTACTTTGGAACAGCGTCCAAGCCTTGGGCAGAGACTGAGCTAGCCCTTTGCTTGATTAGAGCTACCACTTTGATCAGATCAATGTCAGAAGATTAGTTCTCTGTAGCCTTCAGAAGACTCTGGTAACTCCGTTTCTTTACTGCTTCACAGCCACCCCTGGTGAAGACTCAGACTGTCACCATCTCAGATACTGCCAATGCTGGGAAAAGCGAAATCCCAACCAAAGATGTCCCCATTGTTCACACTGAGACCAAGACCATCACGTACGAGGCTGCCCAGGTAGGACATGGTGTGATGTTTCAGAAGCAAAGACTAGAGTAAACACAATAAATAACCTTCTTTCTTTACAGAGTCTGTAATCATTTGCTGCAAATAATGCGGGGCTTTTCTGGGATAATTCTTCTTAGAAGAGATTACTGATCTAAGGATATCCCAGAGTACTTCATTAAAAGCAAAGTTGTCTTACACCTGATTGCTTATATCTGCCCATCTAGGGAAGGCAGTCTGCATAATGGTTAAGACCAGGGGCTTTGGGTCAAACAAACCTGAGTTCAGGTTCTGGCTTCTTCACTTCAGTTACTACAAGTGATTGAACGTCTCTGAGCCTTGATTGCCCCCTCCCCTTCTCCCCCCACCCTGCCCATGATGTTAGTATCTGCTTCATGATTTTATTATGAAGATTATATATGATACATACTGCATGAACTTGACTTGAGTATCATGCCTGAAAGAGTAAATAAGTAACAGCTATAATGATTATAATTTATTACAATTAAATTTAAAGTCACACAAGAATTGGGGTACCTGAGTGACTCAGTTGGTTAAGTGTCTAAATCTTGATCTCAGCTCAGGTCTTGATCTCAGGGTCTCACACAAGAATTTAAGTATTTAAAATTTTTATTTAAATAAAACTTTGTATACTTTTAGCAAAAATTTCTTCTTCATTGTTGGAAGTTTGAATGAGCTAAGAGTTGCTTTATATTGAATCAGGTGGTTTCCTTTTTTTTTTTCAATTCACAGAAGCCAAAAGGTAGAAAAAGTTTTCCCTCTATAAACTGATAAACAGATATTTGTTGAGCATTTATCTATCAGGCCAAAGCAGTATACAAGGTAGACAGAGGCTCTACTCTCTGGAACTTTGGTTATAGTTGGGAGAAACAGATAATAAAACACATAAAGAAGTATATACATTTCAGACACGGTAAATGCTATGAAGAAACTAACGTAAGATAAAGAGTTAGATGATATGAGGGGCGCCTGGGTGGCTCAGTCAGTGAAGCATCCGACTTTTAATCTTGGCTCAGGTCATGATCTCACAGTTTGTAAGCTCAAGCCTCAAATAGTGCTCTATGCTGACAGCGGGCAGCCTGCTTGGGACTCTCTTTCTCTCTGCTCCTCCTCCAGTTGCACACATTCTCTTTCTGAAAATAAAATTTAAAAACTTAAAAAAAAGAATTAGGGGCGCCTGAGTGGCTCAGTCAGTTAAGCGTCCGACTTCCGCTCAGGTCGTGATCTCACTGTTCATGGGTTCGAGCCCCACGTCGGGCTCTGTGCTGACAGCTAGCTCAGAGCCTGGAGCCTGCTTTGGATTCTGTGCCTCCCTCTCTCTCTGACCCTCCCCTGTTCACGCTGTCTTTCTCTCTCATTCAGAAATAAATTAAAAAAAAATTTTAATTAAAACAAAAGAATTAAACAAAATGAGATGGTATGAAAGGCTGTCCCTGTGGGGGACATAGTCATAGTCAGGAAAACCCTATCTGAGGAGGCCACATTCTGGCTAAAGCCACATGACAGGAACGAGGCAGCTGTGTGAAGCTCTGGCTGAGTGATTTCATCTAAATCCTTACTGTTAATCCTCACACTATGAACTGGAAGAAGATCTCCCTTTTAGGAAACAGTATCACTTGCCAATTAAAAGCATGTCCTTTGCAATTAGACAAATAGAAATCATATCCTAGCTCACCCAATGCACTAGCTAGATAACTTTAAACAAGTCGCTAATCTCTCTGTTTTTTTGGCTGTAAAATGGGGCAAATATCACATTCCATTGCAAGATTTGGGGGAAGGATTAAGGGAAATGATGTCTGCCCAGTGTTTGGCGCATTCATAGATGGTCAGTTAATGTTTGTATGCCTCTCTCTTCTCTCTTGTGGTCGAGAGTGTGGAATTTGAGTCTGATACATAATGAGAGAGACTGCTTAAAGTGTTTTAGCAGTGATGGTAAAGCAACATCATTGAAGCATGATTTTTGGAAGATGATTCCTAAAGCTGTGTGCTGAATATTTTAAAGTTGGGGGATGCCTGGAGACAGGAATATGACTAGAGCTAGTCTGGGGAGATGCTTATAAAGAACTGAAGTGTAGCTGGAGGAAATGAGAAGAAAGAGCTGTGTCAAGAGAAACAGAAATGAATGAATAGGACTTGGCAGTGCAGGGGGTTGAAAAAGGAGGGAATAGGAAATTACTTTAAGATTGTGCATGTTATTAACCAGAGGATGTAAGAATTACTTTCATATGGTAGGAAACTCTTTAAATTGTCATTGCCATGGAAACAACCTAGCTGTCCACCAGTAGGGAGCAGGTGAAAATAAATTATGATATATTCAATTAATATAATTTGGTGCAGCTATTTAAAAAAAAGCTTCTGATGGGAATAATCTATGTGATAAATTAATAGATGAAAAAGCATAGTGGAATGTGGTATAAATAACATGCTGTTTATAGGAGGGAAAGAGGAGGCTCGTATATGAATATATTATCTCTGAATGAGTGCTCAAAAAGAAAAAAACCAAAAAGCATTGGTGGCCTCCATGAAGGGTCTAAGACTACAGGACTGTGGTCGGGAGTGGGAGGAGACTGACATTTCATCCTATTCCATTTTGAAGTGAATTTTGTAGCTTATGTGTGAAAGGTGTTAGGGCAAACCTGCACACAGAAGCCCGTGTGGTTTGAATGTAGTCCCGGTAAAAAAAGGAAAAGGAAGCAGTCATTTTAGGATTTTTTTGAGAGAGTACATGTGTGTGCATGCAAGTGGGAGAGGGGCTAAGAGAGAGGGAAAGAGAGAATCTCAAGCTGTCAGGGTAAAGCTTGATGCTGGGCTCGATCCCATGACCTGAGCTGAAATCAAGAGTTGGGATACTTAGCCAACTGAGCCACTCAAGTGCCCCAGGAAGCAGTCATTTAAAAATATATTCACATATAGGAGAAATACAGAGGCAGCATGCTGTGCTAGAGAAAGCATGTGGGCTTTGGAGTTAGACTTGAATCTTAATTCCAACACTTGCTAGTTTTGTGACCTTTGGCAAGTCACTCAAACTCTTTGAGCCTCAACTTTCTCTTCTGAAAAATACATTTATAAGGTTATTAAGATAAAGATAATATTTGCCTGGCATACAGTAGGTATTAAAAAATGGTAGCTATTACTATATCGTATTGTTATATATCTACCTTTATTTCATTTTAATTAGGCTCAAGACAGTCGGCCAAAATACAAATTACTTCTCATTATTCATGCTGGACAGTGGAGTAGAGTGGGGAAAGTACTGACTTTAGAATCCAATTTCCTGGGTTTGAACCTGCTCCATCACTTACTAGTGTGCAATCAAGTTAATTACTCCGTGCCTCAGTTTCCTCATTTGTAAAATGGAGCTAATAATAGTTCCACCTCATAGGGCTGTTGCAAGGAACAAGTTAATGTGCATCTCAAATTAAGTTGTCACTGGGGTGCCTGGGTGGCTCAGACAGTTAAGCATCTGACTTTGGCTCAGGTTCTGATCTCACGGTTTGTGGGTTTGAGCCCTGTGTCAGGCTCTCTCTGCCCCTTCCCTGCTCCTGCACACACTCACTGTCTCTCTAAAAAAAAAAATTAGATACATGTAAAAAAAAAAAAAAAACTTATATACAGGGAAATGCACAGATTTTAAGTGTTCAATTTGCTTGATTTTGACAAATGTATATACTTGTGTAACCAGGACACATTTAGGATACAGAACATTTCCATTACTCCTGACACCCTCTTCAAAGCTTCCTACCCCTCTAGGCAGCTACTGCTTTGATTTCTATCACCTTAGCTTAATTTTACCTGTTCTTGGATTCCATATAAATGGAAGTATACAGTAGTACACTTTTGTGTCTGAACATGTTTTTTGGGTTTTTTGGGGGTTTTTTTGGTTCATCAAAATTATACGAATCTGTAGTTTGCTGTTTTGCATTGTTGAATAGTATGCCATTGTTGGAGTGTACTGCAATTTGTTTATCCTTTCCTTTGTTGATGGACATTTGAGTTGATGCCAGTTTAGAGCAAATGTGAATAAAGCTTCTGTAAACATTCGTGTGCAGGTCTTTGCATAGACATATGTCTTCACTTATCTTGGGTAAACAGCTAAGAGTGGAATTGCTCGGTCATGGGATAAATGGATGTTGGACTTTGTAAATGGCTGTTGAAGGTGCAGTACCATTTTGAGGAAACATTGGTGAGAGGGTCGAAGAAAAGAGGCCACATGTGGGAAGAGTACAAGTCAGAAATCATAACAATGTCTCCTCCATCTCTCCCTTCTTCAGAGAAAGAAAGCAGGGGGGAGTCGGTGGGAGGTAGAAAAATACGTCACAAATTTAGTAGAGGTGGAGCTCTTCAAAAAGGTTTAGCCCTCCTGACAAATTTCTGTTCTTTTTTTTTTTCAATATATGTATTTGGGGGAGTGGGCAGTGAGAGAGAGAGAGGGAGAGAGAATCCCAGGGAAGGCTCTCCCCTGTCATCAAGGAACCTGACATGGGGCTAGATCTCCCAGAATGTGGGATCATGACCTAAGCCGAAATCAAGGGTCAGATGTTTAACCTTAAGACGGAGCCATCAGGCACACCCAAATTTATATTCTTATAATCATATATAAAGCACTTCTACGATCTCTCTAGATCTTCACAATAATGTCATGTGGGGGCAGAGCCCATATTACAGCACTGCCTGTTATAAACGAGAAAACTAAAGCTCAGAGAAGTGAGATTGACTTGCCGGAGATCCTATAGCTAGTTAGGTCTGAGCTGGGACCCAGACCTCAGTCTTCAGACAAGAAGTTTCTTGCCCTAACTTCTAGTTCAAACATTTATTGGCTATAGAACCTTGACAAATTATTGAACTTCTCTGGCCCAACAAACTAAGGTAACAGTTGCGTCGTGTGTTTGGCACATAGTAGAAGTACAATAAATGTTAGCTGAGTTTGAATCTAAGGAGAGATGGGTCTGGGTTGAAGAAAGTGTTAGTGAACTAGCCAGTATTGTACCCAGCACGGTGCTGGCATGTATATGTATGATTTAGGGTTATGTGAGATTTAGGTGTCACAGTCCTGTCCCCTCTCTTTGTTTTGTCTAGATTCTTACCTGGAAGGAAACTCCAGCCAGAAACTCTTCCTCCTAATTCTTATCTCCTCCTCCAGACTCCCCACCCCCATATCTCAAAGTTTTGCCACAAGCAATGTGTCCTGCTCATAAAAAGGCTGGAGGCCTCTGCTTATAATACAACTGACTTACATAAGGAGGCAGAAAAACATAGTAATGTAACACTTTTTATTTTTACTGCAGGTTCTTTATGAGAATAATTGCACTTCTCTAAATCTCCTCTGAGCCGTGTACAATGCCAGAACCCACTGGTCATTATTTCTGGACAGTGTGTTGGCTCTGAGCAGCCTTCACTCCCCTGGTCTCCTGTTTCCATCCCAGTCGCGGGGCTGTCGGCAGTTCTGAGTCCTGCTACCAGCCCACAGCCACCGATAACCACCTCTCCTTATTGCTAGCATCATTTCCCAACCTGATCGTAATACATTGGTTTTGGTCATAGCATGGTGAGCTCCAGAGAAACTAGTAGCCGCAGCCCTTGTTCTCTGTATAGATTAGGTGCATAGCCTGGCATTCGGAATACTTTTAAACCCTTCCGAATAAGGATGGTCCATTTCGGTAATAGTTTTGTTGTCAGAAGTGTCATTGAGGTATTATGCAGGTTTCTTCCCATGGTGTCTTAAAAGGATATTTCCTACCTTACTTGCTGCAGTCTCCCATCTCAGTCTTCAAAGAAGATAGCCTGAGATTCCTTGGCTCATTCAGCCCTGGCAAGGACCTTTTCCAGTCTTTTCTGGAAAGTTCTGCCCTATGATTCAGAACCTACTCATGCCTTAGCACCCAAGTTTATACTTCTCCTGCCTTGGGTGGTGTGTAAAGACCTTCAGGTTTGTAGAGAGGATGGCTGCCACGTACAAGTTTCGGGTGCTTGAGCAAATCATTTGCCTTTTCAGGGCCTGCATTTTCTTACCTGGGAATGCTAATCAGTCTCTGCTCTTTCTGTTGACTTCACAGGGCTTGTGTGAGCATCAAAAAAGACGAATTTTTTAAGGGTTATTTATTTTTGAGTGAGAGCTCAAGCTAGTGGGGCAGGGGCAGAGGTGGGGACAGAGAATCCAAGCCAGCCCTACGCTGACAGCAGCAAGTCTGATGTGGGCCTCAAACTCAACGAACCATGAGATCATGACCTGAGCCGAAGTCTGATGTGTTACCAACCGAGCCACCCAGATGCCCCAAAAGACAATGCTTTGAAAGCCATTTGTGAACTCTAAAATGCTGTATGTACATGTGCGGTCATTGTCACTGTCGTTGGCTGTTTTCTTACCTCCTCTCTCTGATCCACTCCTGTCACTGACCCGGTGCTAAGGAAACTGACCATCCAACATTTCCAAAAGGGAGCCTGTTGCCAGGGGATTGTTTTCTTTATTAAGAGATCGCTGTAAGGGAATTAGGTTTTTGCTTTAGAATGTACAGCCGAAGAGCAGAGCCGCTTCCTGCCACATTTGCCCACAAGGCTTCCTGAGAGGCGTGTTGATGAGCTGTGGTTTTTTTCCTGCAGACCGAGGATAGCAACGGAGACTTGGACCCGGGAGTCTTGCTGACAGCTCAGACCATCACATCTGAGACCACAAGTAGTACAACCACAACTCAGATTACCAAGGTAATAGACCAGTTAGATCTCCCTTCTGGAAGTCAGTGGCATGCCACGCTTGGTGCCTCTGTAGGAAGGACTCTGGTCCGTAAGCAAGGGTTTCCAGCTCCATCCCTGCTGAGCCAGATTGTTCCAAGCATCACAGCTGGCAAGACCCTGCTGCTTTCCCCAGCGGTAAACCCAGGGAGACCCTGAGCGTGTCTTTGCCTAGGGAGTAGCCTCATCAAGTCGCATGTACTTGTCTTTACACGTCTGCCTCTCTCATCACGCCCCTGTCTGACTGTGGGCATAAGTTTAAAAAGTCAGTTTAAGGACCAGTGTCATTGGTATTATTATGCAGCTATATTTTCCAAGTAAAAAATCAGGACTCAGGGCCCAACAGAGAGTTTTTATATCATGTCCAGCATCGAGGCCATGGAAACTATAGTTTGCCCGCTGAAATATTGGAATTATTAGAATATTGTTTATGGAGACAAATTATCTAAAATCGGAACTACTCCCTGAAAACTGGATAGTCTATGTCTGCTGTAGCACTAGAGGAAAATCTATGATCTTGTAAGTAAGAAATCTAGGTTTCTAACCAAGCTCTATTAGCAATACACAGATGGCTAGAAGCTAGTTACTTACAAGTCTCTGACCTTGGTTTTCCTCATCTATCATTTAAGGAAACCTACCCACTCTGAGGGGGTTATTTGAGGATCTTTTGGTATTAACGATACAAAAATGCTTGAGAATAAGGAGCCTAATTTCAAGCTGCATGACATTTTTGTTCACAGTCTTCTGATTTTTCCTCTTGAAAATCATCAAAATATACAGAAGAGAGCAAAAAGAAAAACCTATCTGTTTTTGTTTACTCGCTGAATTTCTGTGGTTTTTAGAAGGAAGAAAACGGGAAAAGTAAATAGAGAATTGTGACTTTCTGTTTTGCTTATTAAAGATCTTAGCAAGCCAGGGGAATAGAGATGTGCTTATTTTAGCAGGTGCAGCCAAGGGTTTGGACAAGTGGGTAAGAAAGCTATTCTAGACAGTACCTAGCAGCAGATTAAAATTCGAAGTAGAGCTTTCAGATTAATCTTTTACTCTCGCTGGGTTTTTTCCCCCATTCGTCTTTCCTTTCTTTCTCCTGTGACCACTGCCCTTTGGTTTCAGACTGTAAAAGGTGGGATTTCAGAGACCCGGATTGAGAAGAGAATTGTGATCACAGGAGATGCCGATATCGACCATGATCAGGTGGGAACACTGAAGAGATTGTGGGCATGGAAGAGGTCCCTGGGCGGGAAGATTGATGGATCCTGGAGTTGGCTTTCGGAAGACGCCTCTGCCAGCTTCATCCCGAGGAACCCCCTGGGCTACGCCAGTGCTTAAGTGGGAAGGGCAAAGGGAATCAGACCATGGAGACCTGTGGGATGGGGGCTGCAGGTGGGGGAGCATAAAGTGTAATAGAAAGAATAGAAAGCTTTTTAGACTCAAAAAGCTTGTGTTCACATTCTGGATCTCTCCATATTCTAGCTCTTAACTTCCTGCCTCCATCTCCCCATCTTTAGGATGGGCATCATGGCATCTTCCCCTCAAGGCGGTTGTGAGAATCGAGTGAGATGTGGGGTGTCCACCATGTGGTACATGGTGGGCTCTGGGTGAACAGAGCTGTTGCTCTTCAGGGGACAGCGTGTCCCTAAACATGTGCTGGAGACAGAAGAAGAGAGTAAGATGAAAGGAAGGTGTGATCCCCACCCTCAGAGGCTCAGAGGCAGGGGAGATGAGGGGAAGCAGAAGGAGGAGGTAGACTGTGAATCAGGAGCCTTGACTTCAATTCTGTCCTAGATCTTCCCCTGACTTACTGTTTGACCTTGGGCACACCACACTAACTCTGATTCTTTTTTTGTCTCCTAAAGGAGAATAGGTTGATCTAGATCATTTCTGGGTCCTTCTGAGTGCTAAAAACCTGTATCTCTCTATTAATTAGGTGCTAATTGTACTGCAGGCAATTAGCAAATAATAAGGTCAGGATTGATGCTCCTAGCTCTCTGCTGAGTGAGGTGAGAAGAGCAGAGCTGCAGAGAAGAGGGGGTGGAGGGGACTGCATGCAAATGCTTCTGCAATCATCGACAGCCCTGCTGGAGCAATCATTCCGTGGCCTTTGTGCTGATATGTTGAGTGCCTTTAAAAAAAAAAGAAAGAAAGAAAACCTGAGCTGCACCACTGGCAGCTCCCTTGGTAGTGGGGCTGAGACTCCCAGCTGAGAACGCCGGGCTCAGGGTCCCCGCAGCAAGGCTGCAGAGCCCAGGCGGGAGGGCCTTGCAGCCAGTTCACCGCAGCTCGGTGGATCCCACTGTTACCTGCCTGCACCCACCTGCTTGGTCCGGTTGGCCTGAGCCCCTGCTGCGTGCTCAGTCCGTGCAAGGGACAGCAAGAGCAGTGGGATGGGGAGGTGTCTGGGGAGTTGAGATAGCGTTGACTCTCGATTCTGCAGCTTACGAGTGGTGTGTCCTTGCGCACGTCATTTTATTTCTCTGAGCTGCCGTTTTGCCATCTGTAAAAGAAAGATAATCCCAGATTTCTTTCAGGGTGATTGTGATCAACAGACTTGATAGCTCAAAAGATGCTCCTTTGTCCCTCAGTTGTGCTGGGTATGAGGGATGCATGGAAGGGATGGGATACGGGGTTTCTGGATGGGTGGGGGGCACTTAAAGTAAGAAGTAGTGTGATGTAGGCTTTCCTAGGGAGACAGGCATCGGCCAGAGTTGGCTTGGGCTGGGTGGGCCTTGACACACGAGCAGGTGGATTGGGCAAAAACGATCAGGGAGAATGAGCAGGGGCCTCGAGAGGTGCCAGTTTCGTGGAGTCAGAAGACCAAAAGAGGAATTTCCTCTCTTCCCTCATCCCTCCTAGAGATAGTTCCTAAGGGCCAGGGTCAACAGTCAGGTGTTCAGATCTAGCTGGAATCCTTTTTTTTTTTTTCTTTTGATTAAAAAAAATTTTTTTAACGTTTATTTATTTTTGAGAGAGAGAAAGTGCGAGCAGGGGAGGGGCAGAGAGAGAGGGAGACACAGAATCCGAAGCAGGCTCCAGGCTCCGAGCTGTCAGCACGGAGCCTGACATAGGGCTCAAACCCATGAATTTGATCTGAGCCGAAATCCGACGCTTTAACCGACTGAGCCACCCAGGCACCCCGTTTTAAAAACATTTTTAAAGTTTATTTATTTATTTTTACAGAGAGAGAGCACAAGCAGGGTAGGGGCAGGGGGGCAGAGAAAATCCAAGTGGGCTCCACGCTGTCAGCGCAGAGCCCAGTGCAGGGCTTAAAACTCACGAACCCACAAACTGTGAGATCATGACCTGAGCTGAAACCAGGATTCAGGTGCTTAACCGACCGAGCCACCCTGGTGCCCCTCATGTCCTTTTTAGNGGGGGGGGGACTATCTCTTGAGAATCCCCATGTCGCTGTTCCCCATAGCACCTTGGGTGCTGTGAGCTTGAGGCTCAGAGACTTGCTGCCCAGCAAGAGTAGTGGTATCATTTCCCTGACTTTCCCTCTGTTTTCATTTGGTTTTTCTAAAATGATCAGAACTCCTCCAGATGCTAACACAGGGTCTCCCCGACACTAAAGGTCAGTGTAGTGAAGAAGAAAGCGTTAAAATCCCTGCTGGATTACTTACTAGCTGCGAAACATTAACCACTTTATTTAGCCAGTAACCTCGGTGTCTTCGTCTGTAAAATGGAAACAACGAAGGGCGCCTGGCTGGCTTAGCTGGAAGAGCAAGCGACTCTTGATCTTGGGGTCATGAGTTTGAGCCTCACGTTGGGCACAGAGCTTACTTCAAAAAAGCGTGGAAACATGGGGCGCCTGGGTGGCTCAGTCAGTTAAGTGTCCGACTTCGGCTCAGGTCATAATCTCGCGGTCCGTGGGTTCGAGCCCATCAGGCTCTGTGCTGACAGCTCAGAGCCTGGAGCCTGCTTCAGATTCTGTGTCTCCTTCTCTCTCTGCCCCTCCCCCATTCATGCTTTCTCTCTCTCTCTCTCAAAATAAATAAACATTAAAAAAAGAAAATAAGTGGAAACAGTGATGCTACCCTAATTCATTGAGTCATCCTGAAGATTAAGTATGTAATAATAATAATGTGTTTAGGCCGATGCATGGCAAGTAATAGGCCCTCCCACTCTTCCTTACTTTCTTCCTTCTCCATTAGCCAAAGATACCTCTTCCTTTTTGTAGCATGCTTCTTTATCTTCCTCTTCTGTGCTGAACTTCCCGGCTGCCCTATAGTGAATACAGATTGTTCACTCACTTCTTGAGTGGCTCCTCCCAGACCCACCCCTAAAGTCCCTTTACAATTCCTTGAAGACAGCTCTAGCCTTCCCTGTCTCTGTGTTTTCAGCCCAGGAGCCCCCCTATGCAGAACAGGGGGAGTCAGGCTATGATCAACTTGGCCCACCCTAAGTGCTGCCCCAGTACCGCAGACAGAAGGATTGAATTTGCCAGAGAATCGATGTCCTGAGACCCCTGCTTCCTTCACCAGTCAGGCTGCCTTGTGCCCCATGGGATTGTTTCTGTCTTTCTCAGGTCCTCGTCCAGGCCATCAAGGAGGCAAAGGAGCAGCACCCAGACATGTCAGTGACCAAGGTGGTCGTCCATCAGGAAACCGAAATCTCTGAGGAATGAGCTCAGGTATGGGCTGTTCTTGGTGGGACGAAGGGGGCCCACTGTCCCCGCCTCAGACAGCACTGAGCAGGAACACCTCCGAGAGGTGTCCACCCTGGGACTTGATAAAGCAAAGGCGAAGGAGAGGCTGATGAGGGAGACAGAGAAGTTACTAAGTATTTGGCTCCAATGAGAGCAGCTAGGCCTCCTGGTGTCCCCCTGCCTGTATCAGCGCCTGATGGGCCGGAGGACACGCCCTAGGCCTGGAGGGGAACCCCCACCCACTTCCTGAATCTTCCTGCTTCCTCCTGCTTCTTCACTTAGGCTTCCCTCTCTCTTCTGTCTGAGATCTGCTCTCGGCTGTCACAAGGATCTCTGAGTCTAAACCTCAGAGGCCAGAGAACAAAACCAAGAAAAGCCAGGACCTGGCTGTCCAGAAATGCGGGCTTGGGGGCTTGGGGGCTGGGGGAGAGACGGCTGAAGCTCAGAGGCCAGACTAGAAAATTGGAAGCAGTGAGCGTAACTTTCAGAGAGCCAGGAATCCAGATGAATTTATGCCTAAGAGGAGCCATGGATCACCAGGTGGGACGGGGCTCTGTAAAACTTCTCCCGCCCTGCTTGTCACCTGGGGCCACAGAACTCTGGCAGCGGCAGCGGGGGCTGGGTGGCTGCTTTCCTTTGCGGGATTTCAACAGTGTGCTTTCTCTCCTCCAGGAACTCTCCTTCCCCAGCTCCCTGCCTATCTCCCCTCCAAGAAAAAACCAGCAAAATGATGAAGAAGCTTACCTGCAGTAGTCAGACACCAGGCTTTCAACATTACCCAAAACCACCAGAAAATTTCATTTTCTATTTGGAGTTTGTACCCAGAGAGTCTTCTAGACATCACTGGTTCTTTTAATACCTTTTTCTATATTGTGATACCAGAAATTGTTCGACTTTTCACTCTATGGACTGTTTTTAAAGAGCTTTTTGGTTTTTTACGGGGTGGTTTGTAACCCCTTCAGCCCAGCCTCTCCCCATGCATTTCCTACCCAGGTACTGACCGGCCCGCAGAGTTCGTGGGGAAACCCTCCAAAGACTGTCAGCGGTGTTGGGGGCCAAAGCCGGCTTAACGGGGTTCCTTGCTCCTCCCCAGTCTTATACCCTTTGGATGTCGGCAGAAACGTCATTCGCCAGCCCTTTCTCAGAGCCGGTGATGTGACTGCCATGTGAGGCGGGGCAGCTGTCCTGATCCACGGGCCCCAGGAAGACATCCCTGCCCCTCTGCTGAGGGTGGTTTTGGTGAGGCAGAGATCTCTGCTAAGAATGTAGTATTGTGTTTGCTTCTTTCCTTCCCTTCTCTTCTCTCTGGAGCTTCTTTAGATCAAGGACATAAGAAGTTGTTTCAGATCTCCCTGATACTGTGAATGTTTGAACATATCCGTGGCCTTCGCCTTCCTGCCCTCCCTCCCCTTTTACCTCATCAGAAGCGGCGGCTCTGCTAAGTGCTCCCCCCACCTCCCATCTCAGGAGACCAAAACTCACAGAAAAATGGGCACTTTGGGCCAGAAGCTCCAATGGCACATTTTTAGTGGTGATTTGGGCAAGGAGAAAGTTAATGAGATTTTTAAAAAAGCTTTTCTAGTCCTGGGAACGTGCACCTCACACAGGGGAATGGTGGGGTTTACCTCAGTCAGATCCTGCTCAGAAGTACTTCCAGGTGACCAACCCTGGGCCTTTTTCTTTAATCCCTGGATGACCGGAAATGTGACTCAGAGAAGTCGTGTTCCTTGCCCTTTCTTCTGACTGGTACCTGCCTGCAGACGCCCTTCTGGAGCGAGGGAATTGACTTTTAGGGGCCATCCTTCCCACAAAACCCCGCACAACAAGGGGTACAAACACCAGCCCTGCTCATTCCCACTCGCCATCTGAGGCCTGTCAGGTTTTTAGGCTTGATTTCTGTGGTGGGTTGTGGGTTTATTTTACTTTTACTTTTGTTTGGTTGGTTGGTTGGTTTTGAAAATGGGACTGACTGATGTGCCCAGTTCCACCATTCCTGGTAGGTCTGGGGGCATTTTTATTCAGTAGCGCTTCTCGAACCTTCCAGCGTGCTTCCCACAAACACATCTGCCTGAAGTGCTTAGAGTCTTATTCTGGGACAGAAGTGAACTTCATGAGACAGCAGGTCACAGTCAGCAGTCTCGGGGGGCTCAAGAGCAGCGAGAGGTCAGAAACCCCTGCTGCCTACAGTGGGGGCCGGCCCTGTGTCCAGAGCCTCTGCCGGCTGGGTCTTGTGTTAGACAAACTCAGTTGGTTTGAACTGATTGCAGATGTGTGCTTTTTTGTTTAGTCCTTATGTGAGACTGTTACCAGCCAAGAGGCAGCTCTCTCTGGAGAGGGACAGGAAGAGCTCAGGCAGGGTGTGTGACAGGCCTGGGCAAAGACGGCTGTCCTGTCTCCGGAGCAGACTTCCAGCCTGTGGGCACAGGGCTTTCTTCGTGGTGCCCGAGCCTGGGCTGTGTCGCCAGGAGTGGGGGTGAGGTTAGGAATCGGCCCACACCAGGCAGCGTGTGACGTGAGCCCCCCCCCGGCCGGTGGCCAGCGGTCCTGGTGCAGGAGCCGCTTCCCAGGCCGCCAGCTGCGGGATGAAGCGGGTCAGGGTAGGGAGAGGGCACAGTTTGAGCACCAGCAACCTGGCACGCAGGGTCCTCCGCCACCCACACCGGTGTGGCCGCTTTCACAGCTCAGGGCCGCTGACGGGGTGGCTCTGTCACCCGCTCACGGTGCTTCTCCTCTCCGCATCCTTGACTGTAAATTGGACCAGAAGATCTCGAATGCCCTTCCAGCGCTGGACACGATCTGGACAAGCAAGGCAGAAGGTGTCCTTGCAAACCTCCCCCTCCCCCCATCCTGCCTCTCTGGTAACAGATCTGAGGGTTCGACAGTTGTTTGGATTTTTTTTCTTCCTGCAGTTGTGTGCGTGTGTGTGTGTGTGTGTGTGTGTGTGTGAAGAAAAACAGATTCTGTCCAGGTGGAAATGGAGAAGAGGGAGGGGAGAGTTTCACTGCCAGGGTCAGAGACTTGGCAGCAGCTTCCCTGAAGTGACTCAGACACACACAGTAACAACTCTCGCTGCAGTTTTATTTTTATTTCGCTTGAGAAGTAAAGACTTCCTCCAAGCCACATGAGGTCTCTGCCGCCCACCAGCCCACCAAGCAGGACCTAAATTTCCAAGCCGAGGGCCCGCAGAACCTGGCCACAGGGATCCTTCAGGGCCTCTTTGCCCTCCGGCCAGGCACCCCCATCGTGTGTTGTGCAGGGTGGCAGAGGGTGAGGCGACAGCAGGGGACGGCAGTCTGCCCTGGGAAGCGGAGCCCGAGCGAGGGCCTGACCAACACCGCGGAATGCTCCGTGCTCGCGGAAACACCTGGCCGGGATCTCAGCCCCAGGCTGGCTGTTTTTACAGATCTCTCTCAAATGTATTATTTTGGTGACAAAAATGAAGGAGCTTTGTAAATTTTTTTAAAATTATGAATCATATCAAGTAGTTGTTTACATTTCTTGACAAAATAGGAACCATGGCAGCAGAATCAAATTGGCAAAATCCTTAGATTAAAAAGGCAATAATTAGGTCTGCTGTTTTGGCCTTTTGTAGTAAAAGTGGTGTAGTGCTTAGATACGTGTTTGGTCTTGCTTCTTGTATTGCATTTTTCAATAAACTTACAAAAAAAAAACCTGAATCTGTGAGAATTGATCCCCTTTTAAAGTTCTGTTTTCCTACCAGCAATCTGCGGAAAATTAAACATGGGTAAGGGAGACCCACGTTCAAGCCGTCATCTTAAAGTTAGCTACCGGCACTGGCCAAAATGCGGCTTCAACGTTGAGTGAAAGGAGATCTGACTCATGGCTTTTTGCCCGCCGGAGGGAGATTTTGCGGCACAGGCCATGAGCGAGGGGAGGAGGGGGCGTCTCAGACCTGTTTCGGGAGGGGCCAGACCCTCGGTAGAAAGGCTTTGGCAGTAGTGTAGCCCTACTGGGGGGTGCCCCGGATGGCTGAGGGGGGAGAGGGGCAGAGGCGGTGGGAGATAAAGCCTCAGGCCCCATCCCAGATGGCAGTGGAGGGTCTCCTCTCTACCCCATTGCTCATCTCCCCCAACCCCGCAACTGGCGCCACCTTGGAGGGGGCCTGTCCCCGCCTGTAACATCCCAACCTACCTTCGGAGGCTTAGGGGTCCTTGCTTCCCCCCTCTGGGTTTGCCAAGACACCGGGTGCGTCTCCCATCACCCCGACCTGGCCCTCCGGCCCCCTCAGGCACCCTCCAAGGCTAAGTAAGGCCACTTTTGGAGGCTTCAGAGAGTTCCCGAGGCCGAGTCATGCTGGTCCCCAGACTCCACAATAAAGCACGTCCTCTCCAGCCTATTGAACCCTTGTGCAGTTGGCATTTCTCTGCCGACATGCAAGTCAGGTCGCCTTAGCAGCTGCTGGGGCCGGAGCGTCCACCTCCAGTCTGGGATGTGACTGCTGCATCTACTAGATACTGGGACTTCTGATCCTATTACCACGGTCGATGCTGCGGCCTCCTAGCAGGCTGTCCCCTGCTCCTTAAACCCGGGCTCCCAAGTCCCCTCCTCCTCCCAACTTGGCATAACCCCCCAGACTGAGGCGGTCCAGCCGGGGCCAGCTCCGGTGAGCACAGTCTCGAGCTGCCGGGGCGCCCAGTAGGAGCTCCCCAAGGCCCAGATCCAGAGACTTGGAATGTTCGATGCAGGAACCAGAGGGCTGCACGGTGATAATCACATGGCCAGTCTGGGTCCGTGGACCCCAGGGTGGGGGCAGCCCCGGGCCCTTCAGCGGGTAACTGTTGAGCAGGGCAGGTAACCCCAAGCGAGGATTCGCAGGCTCTGAACGCAGACTCCGCACTGACGGAACGGGTGAGGTACCCCGACGCGGGGACAGGTCCCAACTTTCTGGCTCTGCGCAGCCTATGGCTCGGGGAGTCCTGGGTCCGGGGCTGGGGAGGAGGGCGCAGTCCCAGCCGGGGCCGTCAGGAGGGCGGAGCGCCTGAGCCCGCAGCACCCCCTGGCGAAGCCGTCGCGTCTCCAAGTCGCGGTTCTCGTAGAGTAGCGTGTTGGCGCAGATGAACACGAACAGGCCGACGCCCATGACCACGGGCCCAAGGAGCCGCAGCCGCTCGTGCGGGCCGTGGGCCCGGCCGGCGCCGCGACCCTCGCGTCGCAGCTCGCTCAGGGGGGGCGCGCTGGCATTGGCAGCGCGCGGCCCCGGGGCGCCGGCGCGGTGCGGCCAGTAGCCGGCCACGGCGATGCCCATGCCCACCAGTACCACGAGCGCCCCCAGCGCCGCGAACGCCCCCGACGGCGAGCGCAGCCGCAGCCGTGCCCGCACCCGCAGAGGTTCGGGCGGGGAGCGCGGGCGCCGGCGGCGGCCCAGGCGGCGGCCCAGGCGAGAGACGCGGCCCTCGGGGCTCCTCCGCAACTCCCCGCAGTCTCCCGGGCTCCCAGCCGTCATCTCGCCGTCGTCTGGGCGCTCTGCGGAGAGATGGGAGGCGGGCACTGAACCGACGGGCCTGGGGTCGGAGCGCCAGGTGGGGGGCCCAAATCCGGGAGGCGAGCTCGGGCTGCCTCGCCCAGGCCGCTTGGAGATCCCTGGCGGCCACCCCCGGATTTTCCTGGGCCGCGAGGCGGGGAGCCGCCCCCGCTCGGGTTTTCCGCAGCGGAGCTCGGAGCCAGGCGCGCGCGGCAGAAGCCGGAGTTGGCCGGGCCCGCGGGCGGAGAGGAGGGAGGAGGGCGCGGGCTGCTACCTGGCGCATCCTTGGCTGCGGGGCTCCCGCCGCCCGAGCCCTCTTCGCCAGCCCGCCGGCCCCGGGCCTCCCGAGGCGTGCGGGCCCCCGGCAGTGGCGTCTCCAGGGTAAGTCCCGCCCGGGATCGACCTCACCCCCGCACGTGGTTGCACCGTAAAGGAGGGAGGGGGCGCTCAGACCGCCCGGGTCCGCTGGGGTCGCTCGCGGGCCCCACCTCCCCCCTACTGCGCTTTACATACCGCAGCGGAGGAAGGAGGGGGTGTCACTGACTCCAGCCTCTTCCTGCCCACCCCCTCCTTTCAGCCCTCCTCAGTCTGCACTGAAGCTGCAGCAGGAGAGACTTGAGCTAGACTCCAGGAAGACCGTTCCGATCAAGACCGGCGGCCGACTTTGCCCAGGATCGCTTTAAACTCCGCGCAGACGAGGCCTCCCCTCCCCCGGCGGCCGGGCAGTGGCCCGGGCAGGGCGCAGGGGGCTGCAGGTGCTGGGCGCGGGGCCCTGCCGCTAGAGCTCCCCTCCGGCTCTCCGTCGGCCTGGGCACGGCTGTTCCCAGGTTGCAGCGTTTCCAATTCGAGCTCCTCGGGATGAATCATCCCCCTTTCCCGCCGCCTGTCCTCCTTTCCGGCCTCCTCCACCCGAGGCCTCAGTGGCCCGCGTCCCGGACGGAGCAGCACCGCCCCAGCACCTCAGGCCGCCCCAGCCTGGGCCGCCCGGCTTAAGCCCTTCCCGGCCTGTGGCCTGAGGACCGGAGCCGGGCCGGGTAAGGAGTGGCTGGGTTGTGTGCGGTGTGTGGCCCCCCACGGAAGGGAGGGTATGGGAGAAAACCGGGCCCCCGCCCAGGAGCCCTGGGCCGCAGGGGAGGAGAGCTAGGACCGCGCTGTCCAGTGGTGCGTCTTCACTCCCCCCAGAGTGGTTTCTAAACAGCTTCAGCGCTGGAATCCGCAGCCGAGACCCCAGGAAGGAGGCCTTGCTACCCCACTCACTCCCCATCCGCACCCCCGAAACTCAAGGCACGACACCCCATCCCTGCCTCCAAGAGGAGTGCCGAAGGCCCGGGGCCTAGCGCTGAGCCGCCGAGTCTGCCGCGTCCAAAGCCTGATTTTCACAGATGGAAACTGCGGCCCAGAGAGGCGGAGGAGACTGCCGGGGTCACCTGAGGAGGGGGCTCCACCGGGACCCGACGCCGGGCCTCGACCCCCAGCCAACGCGGTGCACAGCCACGGGGGCGTCCTGGGAGCAGGCAAGGGCCGTTCCCCCGTCGTCTCTGAGTGTGGAGCATTTTCCCCAGCCCGAAACCGCAGAAGTGACCACCCCGCCCCAGGCCGGAGCTGGTGCCCGGGGCCCAACTCCGGAAAGGTCGCCCGGAGCCCCCGCGAGTCTCTGCGTGGAGGGAGGAGGCGGCGTGCGGAGAGATGGGCACACGCCTTGAGACCCCGAGCCTCTGGAGAGCGTGAGTCCACGCTGGGGACCCCAGGGCGGGCAGAAACTGGGAGCCACGGTCGGAAGGTCTCAGGCCGCGGGAAGTTGCTCCGGGCCGGTCCCTCGCACTCCGGGGACCCGCCTCCGCCAGCGTCCACACTCTGCCCGGGGTAAAGGGAGGACCGGGCTCCCGCCGCCCAGAGCCTTTCCGGAGGGAGGGGCCAAACAAAAAGTTGGGAAAGTGGGAGGCGAACCCCGGGCCCCAGTTTTGCTCACCTGGTGCCGCCGCGCCCGGGCGGGTCCCGGTCGGAGTCAGCGCGCCGCGGGTCCCTGCGCTGCCGCCGACTCCACCGAATCTTGGCCCCCGGCCCCGCCCCCTACTCGGGCTCCGCCCTGCGCCGCCCAGGCCCCGCCCCCCGGGAGCCCCGGGGACTGGCTGGCCAGCACCCCGCCAGGCCCCACCGCTGGAGGAAGGCAGCAGCTCAGGTCTGAGGGTCGCAGGTAAGCGCTCTGTGCTCGCCTGGTGACTCGGAGGATCCGGGAGTCCGAGTCCCCGGCTTCTGCCGTTCGCAGAGGCCTGGGAGGGCCCCCTGCTCCCACGTGGGGAAACCTGGAGAGCCCTGCCCGGCTCCGCAGCGAGCGCGCAGGCTGAGGATTCGAGGCACGCACATCCCCCTCCCCACGCCTCTGAGCCCCTCATTCCAAGCGCCGTGGAGAGGACCTCCGGAGGCATCTGAGAGCCTGCTGCTGCCCTGCGCTGTCCCGGGAGCTCCCCGGAGGAGGTGGTCCAGTTCCTGCCCCGCCCGCCCCAGCCCTTCCCCTCCGTGAACCTCACTGCCTTCAAATGAAAAAATGGGCTTAAAAGTGTCCGCCTCGCAAGATACGGAAAGGAGAAAATCCAGCGATGGGGGTGGGCTCTCGACATGGGACGCAGCCCCGGGTAACCCGGCGAGCGCTCAGTGAACAGGAGCCCGGGGCAGGGGTGGGGGCGGTGGGGCTGAGCCCTCTCTCAGAGCTGAGTGAGTCTAACAGAGTGGCCGGCTCCCGCCGGCCTCCCTAACACTATGAAGATGCGCCCCATCTGGAGTGGGGAGGCGGGGCTGGTCCCCACTCCGGAGGCACTGGGGGCGCCCCCAGCCGCTGGCCCGACGGGGCCGCCCAGCTTTCGCCCCGCCCGCCCCCCGAGGCTGGAATGCGGAGCGGAGCGAGGGGGTCGGCTGGCGGCCCAGTTTCCATGATGCGGGGGGCGGGCTCGCAGAAGGAGGGGTGGCGCGGGCGGCCGGCCAGGCTCCGAGCGGGGCCCCCCCCCCGGCCCCAGCTGCCCAGCCGGGCCCCTCGGGAGGAATTTCCGGCCTGGGATTGATTATAACCGCCCATCCCCCGGCCGCCGAGACCCCCCGGCCCGCGGGGCGCGGGGGAGGGGGAGGGGCGGTAATGAGACCCGGCTGTGCGCCCGGGGCGGGGAGGGGGAGCTCGAAGAAGTCGCCCGCCTGGGCCACCGCCCCCCGCCCCCTCGCAGGGCGCCACACTGCACAACTAGGCCTCGAACCCAGGCCCCCGCCCTCTGGCCCGGCCGAGGAGACTGGGGGTGGCCTCGGCGTCCCGGGAGCTCCTCTCCCAGCGCTCGTGTACAGGCATCCCTGGGAGCGACCGACGCCACCACTGGGGGCGGAGCCTCCTCGGGGGAACCACCGTGAAGATACCGGCCTCCTGCGGAGCGGGTAGGGCCGAGCCCGGGGTCGAATGGGGTCGGGAAGCCAGGCCGGGGTCGCCCTGCCGCCGCCGCGTGAGACTGAAGGCTGAGCTCCGAAGAGAACTCCCTCCGCCCCGCGCCGAGGCTGTTGTTTGCGCTCCACTGAGGCAGTGGCCTGCTTCCTGCCCCCTCCGGCCACCCCCTTTGCCCGAGACCCCCATGGACCCTGCACTTACTCCATTCCCGAACACCCACTGCTACACGCCCCCCATCTCCGCCCTCCAGCCACCCTCCTGAGGCTCAGCTCTGCGCCCCACCCTACACCGTCCCCCAGCCTCTCACCCCCAAGCCCGTCCCCCCTCGCTGCTCTTCCTGGGGTCACCAGCTTCAGGCTAAAGCTTGGTGTCCCGTCCTTGTCCTTGCTGCTCCACCTGCCCTGGCTGTTACACTTTTGCTCTTCCTTCCCCTCTGTCCCCCCCTGATGTTGGGGCTCCTCCAGCCTGAGCCCAGGAGCCCCGCCTCATTTTCAGCAACAGACACCTCCCCAGAAATTTCCCTGCTCCCGGTGATCATGGCCCATTCCTACCCCTCCTGTTCCCCCGGCGGTAAAAGGCCCCCCTGCTCACCCAAAGGCCGTCTCCAGCAGCGGTGGTCACCTTAGGCTCGCTCCTCTCCACCTTCCCCCCAATCCTTCCAGTCCTGTGGACCCCCCGCTTGGGATCCCCAATTAGCTGCTTTCTTCCTGCCCCAGGCCCACTGTTCTGTGAGGGGTGCCAGTCATCTTTCTACCCTGGATCTAAACCACTCACTCACTCTGCTTACAACCCTCAGTGGCTCCCCAGTGATGTCTAGGTGGAGTTTAAGATCCCTTCTCACCTCCACAAACTGGCTCCTGCCGCCTGCCATCCTCCCTGGCGCAGCGGAACTTTCTCCCATCCCCGTATCTGTGCTCTGGCCTTGGGTTTGACCCCCCACCTTGCCTCCTGCCATGAAATCTCACTTCCCTGATCATCCCCTTGGCTCCTCCTCCTTCAGACCGTTTTTGAGCCTCTGTGACCCCAGAGTAGGTCAGCCCCGCCCCTCCCCACCCCTGCTTCCCTCCCCTCCCTACCTCTGCCTTCCTCCCCTTCACCCAGCCTCCCCTTAGCGGCACTGCACAGGAGAACTGAAGTCAGTGTTTGGGACTTGAGCTCCTGTGTCCTCCTGACAGTGAGCTGAGGGGACACCTGGGTCTGTCTTGCCCCCTCCCTGAGCCCTGGCCCTCCACTGGCTTGTGTCTCCCCCATCCTGGGCCCCCCTTAATGCACACCGCTCAGACAGCAGGAAAGGACTGCGCTCTCTCTGCATCTGTTTCCCCGTCTACACAAAAAGGGGGGAATACTACCTCCTAGTGTTGTTTGGAAGACTAAATACGAGCACACGTGTTCAGCCTCTGGCACAAAGTGGATGACCACCAAACAGCTATGCCCTCCTCTGACCCTGGGGCTTGAGGCACAGAAGACCGTGTCTGGGAGTTGTAGAAACCTTCCCTGGCATCATTTGGGGCAGTGCTGAAAAAGGGGTCCTCTTTTCCTAGATGTAACCCCATTTGATTCT